CTGTGATAATCTAGTTATTTTACTGTCCTTCGTCGACATTTTTTTTATAATGTAATTGTGTTTATTGTTAATTTATAACTTTTTAAGTCACAATATGGCTGAAATATTGCCGATGTGACTATAAAGTTTTACTCACTCACTCATTCACTGTAACAATCGTTATATCAAATTTTAACTCATGCAGTCTTGGGGGAAATTAATCACGATCAATGAAATTAAACATGTTGTAGTCTTTAAGTGATCAATCACATATTTGTATTTAATAAAAGTAATGTTAAAACCTGCCCAGCCTAAACAAATTCAGACTCTCAAAATACTCAAATTAGCTGAAAATTATATAAATTTGTATCATACACTTAGTCGAAAACGTTTTCATTCTAGACAATTTCACCGAGTTTAGGATTCCAACATTTCAACTCACAATTGTGAATTACAAAACAACGATGTTTACCCTGCTCGTGACCATGGCGTCAATGGCTGCAGATAGAAAATATTCATTTTTGGTGAATGAGATCTAGACATCACATGAAACCCACACACGTATATTCGGGGAAACTGCATGTATTCGTAAGTGTAATTGTAGTTTTAATCTGTTCCTATAGCTAGAACACAATTAATTTGGTGGAGTAAGTACTGCAGACTATGGCACAGAACGGTATTTGTTTTAATTATTTCCTGGAGATTTTTAAGCTCATGTCGCACGTGCATTGGCTGTCTGGTTGATTAATTATTGCTTCATTTATCATAGAAAATGATTTTCCCTTATCCTTCATTACATAAGTGAATTTGTAAGCTGTACCTCGCCATAAAAATATCACAGGCGATGTTTTAATCTATTCCTCCAGCAAGATCACAATCAGTGGAGGACAACAATTATTGTCCTAGATTCACCTTTAAACTCACCATAGATCCTGTTCAAAATAATTATGCGAATGTACTTAGTCCTACTGACTATGACACATAAGTGTTTTATTTTTAATGTTTTCCTGTATTTTTCAAGTTCAAGTTGCATGTAGATTGGAATTTTGGTTTATTCTTGCTTCACTCATTATATAAAATAAGTTTGTTATCCTCAATTACATGCACAGTTTATGTTCCAGTTACGATGGATGATTTCATTTCAATGACAGTGATCTTTTCACTCTAGGCACAAGGGTAAAGAAACAATACGTTAAGGGAACCACTACTTCATGCATTTTAAGAACTAATGTTTCCAAAGTAAAAGTCCAAAGATAACAGTATTGCTTGTCCCATTTTACCTCAAATGTATGTTTGTTTACTGCAGTCATTGATGCTAGACTGGCGGTGGGTAAGCTAGTGGTTAATGGTTCGGGCCGAAAGCGTTCGCTCGTCACGCAATGCGTGAAGCGAATTTCTGAAGTCCGCCACCATGGGTTTGATTTCGGACAACAGGTAGTCTAGACTGCGGACTTTGTGTACCCCTCTGATAAGCGTTAATTGGCGAATCACGGATGGGACTCAACCCCAAAAAGTACTAGAATTTGTACTTTACTAAGAAAGTGTAATCTCAAATATAACATATGTTACATTTGACCACTTTCTAAAATGGCATTGCAATGTATTTCATGACTTGCACGCATATATACACTAGGAAGTGTGTAATGCATATTATTATAATACAATTACCATTATTAACCAGGAAAACAAAGACTAAACTCTGCCTCCTTCTGTCATAATATATATATGATATGATATGGGGGGGCGGTGGGGTAGTCACGCCTAGTGGGTAAAGCGTCAATGGTCGTCATTTTGGTGTCCCCGCCAAAGACCTGGTTCGATAAAACCAAACCAACATGGGTACAATCAGTGTGAAGCCTATTTCTGGTGTCAAACCCAGCCGTGATGCTTTTGCTGGAATATTGCTAAAAGCGGCGTAAAACCAAACTCACTCACTCACTCATATATGATATAGGTGTATGAGGTTTTAGCAATTCCAAATCTGCTTTGGATGTTTGATGGCGATGGAGGATGAAGGATCGTCAACGGGTTCTGTTGGAGAAAGGGTCCGCTTGGTGAGCAGTGGTCGGTGGTTCGAACACGATGCTTGTTGTCGGCATTGTATCTCAGTGGGGTAGCGTTATGGATTCGTCATCAGTGAAGTCGTATTCAAGCAGCGCCTTAATCCCACACCCACCAACCCCACCCGACACCTACTCTCCACCACGACCGCACACAAGTACACACAGAGGTGTATATGTCTAAACACGACAAGCAATCTTGAATGCGACCCATTTCACCACGCCAAAGCTCGTACAGTGAAATTAGATATCGTCAATGATGTTTTTTCTGATATTTCCGCAGGCGTGTCTATGACCGGCCCGGCCAGCAGATGAACCTTATGTTTTTATAGCTAAGCTCACTCCTGCAGGCTCTCCAATAGTTATCCAGCATGTGTAATGTAATATTGAAGTACACATTATATTAAAATATCAAATACAATTACAACACTGTACCATACAGATATCTATTTATGTAGACAGGAAGAAAGACTGACTTTATTGATGCATTTGCTTGAGAATTTGAAAAATTAGTTTACAGCAAGAAAACATAAAAAATACGTCTACAAAATAAAATATGAGCTTTGTCCTGAGTAGTATAATCATCTAAATATAGCGAAGGCAAGCCACATGTACACACTGCAAGTCAGGATTATGTAAACCATTTGATGTTTACATCTCTTAACAGTGTCCTTTATTATAGAGATTGAAATTCATCATAAGTATGAATATACTGTTGTTTGAAGAAATATTATTTTCTTCTATTCAAAATGTCAATAATGCCATTTGGACATATATACTGAAGTTATCATAATTAAAATGCAGTTATTGTAGAAATTTGCAATAGATATCCATGATTCACCCATAAAATCTTTGTTTACATCTTGCTCCATGAACCCCTACAGATAACAAAGCAGATAGACTTCAGCTATGTTCATTCCATTATTAAATCGTATTTGAAGATTGTATTATGACAAGTATGTGATGATTGATATTATTTGTTCGCGACTGTTTATTTTACAATTACTTGAACATTGTTTTTCACTTCTCTATGTTGTATATCTGCTAAATATTTGTGTTGTTGTAAACAATCCCAATATATTCGGGCCGACGAAATTCACACGTTGCATACAAGACCTTCACATCTCGTGTACTACATCAGCTACATCCGTAATGAATTGCGTGCATATGGACTAATCGGGCATAATACGAAAGAGGTGTGAGTACGTATACAATGAAAATACACTCCAGGATTAAAAGCGTGATATTCATGCATCTGGAACAAGACTTTCATTGCCGATTGCTAAACGTCAACAAAACGACAAAACATGACCGCCTAGCATCTGGTGTTTCATTATTGCAATATAAACAGTCATAGTTATCACTGGTGTATCATGGAATCACGGAACTAGTATTTCAGGATATATATCATCGTTCATGGGGAAAATATATGCTGTCACGAACGTTACCGGTGAAGGTGAAGACTATACAGGTTAACTTTCTCTACATGTAATAGTAACCCGTACAGCTCGCATCGCATACGACATGCACTGTCAGTTTAAGGTTGGACCGTCCGGATCAGCGCACCTAGCGGATTAGTGAAGGGAACATAAATTTAACAAGATTGCCCATTGCGTAGATTGATGCCCACGGTGTTGATCACCGGATTGTTTGGATCAGACTGGATTATTTACAAATCCCCGCCATAACATCGACGTTTGCATTGGCGAGATAGGCACCTGTTACACAAGATGTATGGCGTCGAGCGTTGTCGTGTTGAAACAGTCCTTTCTGGTGGTTAAAAAGTGGGAGGAGGTCAGATCGCAGGATTTGGTCGATGTAGCGGTTTGCTGTAATACTGCCTTGAACGAGCACTAGTTCTGATCTAACCGTGTAGGACATGGCTCACCACACCATAACACAATCTGTCTACAAACACGTACGTCGTGTCGACGTCGATAGACACGTTGTCTCCCACCCCGCTGTTGCAGGAGGAAACTGCGCTGAAACAAACGCGTCGCCAGTTCCCATGCCTGTACTCTGTTGCACCATTGGACACGTCGTTGTCGCTGTAGTCATGTCCAACTTTGGTCGATATGCTCGAATTCCCACTTCCCTCAGACGATTTCTGATGGTTTGGTTGGCAATTCTGCGAAGACCAGGCACCTGTCCTGCAGTGTCCGTTGCTGTAGCAAATCGGTGACGTTGGTGAAACACCCGGATGAATCGTTCCTGAGCAGGAGTGGTCACTCTTGGACGATCATGTTTCAAATTGAAGCGGGTGTATCGATGCCATATATCGAGATACGGTGGTGGACGTTGAAGTCACTTGCAACGGCAGACTGCGACTCCCCTGCTTCCAAACGTCCAATGGCAATATTTCGGCCAATCTCGGCCATTCAATCTTGACATTTTTTATCGTCGTTTGCGTCGTAAATTTCGTAATTAAATGATGAATTTATTTTGGCGTTTTATAGTCGATGTCCCTGCTCATGTTTCCGACAGATTTCACGTGCATTACATGGAAAACCTTTTCTGCATGCACTTTTCATGTATTGTTTTCATGTTTTTATGACAAACGTTTTCATTTTGGGATGCATTTGCGCGCAATACACAACAACCAAGACATGATTAACGGGATTCAAACACAGTTGTCTTAATGATGAGTGCTGTCAAAATATATCGAAATGGACTGCTGAAAACGCCTGTGCGTTTCTTTCTTTTAAAGAGTGTATTTTATGTTCATTCCAGAAAATATTCAATCTTGGTTATGGTTGTATGTATGACACTAGGGAGACAGAATAATGTATTGTCGGCACAGGCATTGACAGCAGTAAACACGCTCATGGTAATGTGACTGATTCTAGTTATTAATAGAAAACTTTATCAACGATTGTCCATATGATCAATAGTTTTATGTCCGTTTATAGCTATAATCAAAGGATTGTGTCTCATCTATTTGATTTTATGATTCATTGTTAGCCCCAGAAATGGAATCCGATAAAGATAATAACGAGAGAGATCAAGAATCAGTTGAAATGATGGAAATACACGAATCCAAATCTAAAGAGAGAGGAGAGAAAGAGTACTGGAGCTCGCAAACTGACTATCTTCTCTCCCTGATTGGATTTTGTGTTGCCCTTGGAAACGTGTGGCGATTTCCCTATATCTGCAACAGGAATGGGGAGGTAAGTACATTGTAGAGTTAAAAACAATATTACTGCTTTATCGTGACGGTCTGTGAAAAATAGAATCTTGAAAAGGTATGCAAATGGGTGATGAAATAAGCAAAGCAATATGTTACAGGTTACAATGACACAATATATCTATATGAAATACTCAAATAAATGATGTCTTACTCCGTTTGGCTTGATGCTTAATACGTGACTAGGAATAAAACACGCCCCTGTTCTCTGGTTGATTGCGTTACAATACGATACAATGTTAGGAAGATTGTGTTTTAGACAGCTGTTGTCATATTATATATTTATCAGTTAGCAAATCCAACCATACGTACGAATCGAATTTATTTTGCAATAAGCACAATTACACAGTCCTTGCGTTGGATGAATGTTGCTTTGGATAATAATTCCATCTGGTATCATGTCAACTAAACATGTTTTTAGAAAAATATTAAAATTGTTTTGGTTTGGGACGTTTACCACATAAACAGGGAACGTCTTTGGTTCGAACCCACGATCATCGTATCCTGATACGGCGACATCTGACGCGCTAGACTGCTGTTCCGCAAGAACGTGTTCCATGATGGTATGTCTATTTTAGGGGCGTTCTTGATTCCCTTCATGGTGTGTCTGGTGCTGTGTGGTCTACCATTGTTCTTCCTTGAGGTGGCCCTGGGGCAGTTTACAGGACGTAGTGCAATGCATACGTGGAGTCTTTGCCCTCTAGTGAAAGGTAAAGGTTTCTAACTGATGGCGAGGTTCTATTAGCGGCGACCATTAGCAGAGGTGCACGTGTTTACTTGGGCTGTAGACGGTGTTATATACTCATGATACAGTCACAATTGTACACAGACTCTGCTTTTAGCAGAAATTTCGTATGGATGTGGAAAGGGTTTTGTTACCACTATGTACATTGCTCTGATTTTGACCATTGTCCTGATGTGATAGGTTAACGCAATGCTGACCAGTAACACATATGGACGGAAATAGATAAATGACTGGTCATCTCGAGCGTTTGTTGTTCGCTGGATCCCATTTGAGATAATGTCATGGCGGGTACGTGGCTGCCATTGTCCGGTTTTTCACACATCATTTGCTTTACATGTTTCTGGTGTCATTTCACGTTCAGGTCTTCAGCAGCTATTGCTTTTGGTAAGAGGCGATCTTCGTGATCGGGTGGTCAGGCCTGCGGCGTTAAACCAAAAACGCGCAGACTTGACTTATTCTTCTTTACCAATGCATAACTATCTTGATCTTGCATGAAATTCAATTCAGAACTCAGTGTTTGTTAAATGTTGCCGTTGTTGACGAATAAACGAGACAAACAATTATCCCTATCTCTTAATTGGATTCCAAGTCGAAATTCACAGTACTGGCAGGTTGGTTAATTCTGGTTAGATCATGAAACATTAAACATAATTTTTTCACAGGACTTGGGGGTGGCATGTTGATCTTCTGTACTGGGTTCGTGATCTACTCCACAGTCATCTGTGCATGGTCTTTGTACTATGCATTCTTCTCCCTGAGGTCAGTTCTTCCGTGGACATCCTGCAGCAACTCCTGGAACACCGAGGCATGTGTGACGACTGTGAAGCACCTGAACCAAGTATTCAGTGGAGGTACTTGGGTGCAGATGTGTTCGTGAGCCATTGTTTGTGGTCGCATCAACAATCGTGATTGAAATATGATTAAAAAACGGACATATTACAAAAAATGGCACAACCAATACCAAGTTGAACAGTGTATTATTCATGTTAAACATAATCCGAAATTAACTGTTAGAGCAACACAACAAGAGGTACGTTCTCCCAGTCTTCGGAAAATGTACTTGATATCCTCTCTGTTTAACCTGATGAATACAAGTCCCAGCTATTAGTTTAACTATTAACACAATACCTCATGATAACAAATGAACATTCATTTCACATTTTCTTGTGCTGTATGACATAGTTCAGGAGGACGAGGTGATTATAACGTTCCAAACAACAGGTGTGACTCGGTAAATAAGAATGAAGTGAAATGTGCATGTCTCAACTGGTATTGCATCTTTCAGTATGATGACTGTCTCTTCTGGCGATATCGAATGGTAATCTATATTTTATCTCTACAGTTACAAATGGGTCCAGTCACTACAACGCTACCACCTCCAACACATCATTTGTCTATGAAGGATTGAAAAACAGATCTGTGACGGCAGCTGAAGAATTTTGGCAGTGCGTGGAGTTCGTCCTTTCATTCCAGTGGTTCCTGAGGAGAAGTTGTATAATACGTCATATGGCAAACCCACATCCCAGGGATTAACACGCTGACCGTGACATTATGAAACAAAGTAACCGATGTTGTTATGTGACCTGAATTTTCGGGGCCCATTAAATTTCTTCTCAGCTAGATTAGTAAAGGTTGTTGGTGATTTATTTGTCCCACGTCCCAAGAATTGATATGAATTGCTGGTTACGTATGTCACCCCTTAATTCCAGTCAACAGATATATTACGAAGCGTTAGTGAGCTGCTGTTTGCAGTCATCTCTCAGAACATAATTAATACATACATATTCATTTCTTGTAGACACAAAGCACTTGAAATTACCAGAGGCCTGGAGTATCTCGGTCCAATCAAAATGGAGCTGGCACTTTGTCTACTTGCCTCATGGATTGTCGTCTTTTTATGCACAATCAAAGGCGTCCGATCTGTTGGAAAGGTTGGAACATTTCGAATAGAAGAAACGAATAAAATCACCAAGATACAATGAAAACTGTACTATGGCGTTTGCGACACTTGGATTAAATATACAGTAAAATACCTGTATAACGAACTCCAAGGGACCACTGAAATTAGTTCGTTATATCCGTAGTTCGCTATTCACGAAATTCCATTAAAAAAAACAAAGACATACTGTACAGTACGATACATTCCTACTTCCTAGTTTATTCATTCATTCATGCAACAGTAACATTCTTTTCACTACAACGACTGTAGACTGTATTCGGTTACAAATTAAGGTTACTGTTTGAATCTTTTCGATTTGAAACCAGTTAATATTTGTTCGTGTGATAATATCTGACATTATTTGAAGCTCTGTCATGTGTGTTTTGTCGTCGTTGTAGGCTGTCTATGTGACAGCTACATTTCCCTACATCATCCTGATTGTTCTTCTGATACGTGGCCTGACTCTGCCCGGGGGAACAGATGGAGCCCTCTTTTACATCACACCAAACTTCAGCAAACTTCTGGAGATACAGGTACACCGATAATAACGCCACTTATATTATATAGCGCTGAACTCCACGCTGCACGGGCATGCTCTAAGCACATGCAGCATAATGGACATTATTACCCCGAATAACCAAAGTTGCCTGTAAGGCGCTAGAAGGTTAACAGTCATATGACTTATCCTGCCGGGTACCATTTTCTGCCCGGTGAACAGAGGCAAATTTGAACAAACTCGAGCTGCCAAACACGATCGCCCATCCAAGGACTCTCCGTCACTATCGTTGCTGAACTTCAACTGATTTGTGAGTGAGTGAGTGAGTGAGTTAATTTTTAACGTCACATCGGCAATATTTCAGCCATATCGTGACGAGATCAACTGATTTGTGACACGGGCTCTATGCACAAGACCGCATACCACCACTTACAAATACGTACACAATGTGTATAGCTCTAAGAGTTCTAGCATATGTATGACACCAAGAAAACGGATACACAAAATCCATTAATGTCGATATAAAGGCAGCAAAAAAAACCTGACGCTTTAGATTGAACAGATCACAAGAGAGCAATTAGTCCGCATGTAGTATAACCAGATGGGGGACGAAATAACATTATCAAACATGTTTTCATTGATGTTCTCTTCTTCTCTAGGTGTGGTTAGAGGCGTGTCTCCAGGTGTTCTACTCCCTGGGTCCGGCCTGGGGCTGTATCATAACAATGTCGAGTTACAACAAATTCAACACAAACTGTCTCAGGTAAATGAAATTTACCAAAAACACTTTTTTGACAAAAGTGAGACTTTCATACAAGATATGTCCACCAAACAACTATTTTACCGCAGTTTTGTTTTTGTTATTTGAGGCATTGTTTGAGAGAATGGCTATACACCCTTTTTTTGTACAGCAATAATACTTTAGTACAGCTAGAGTAACGCTTCTCAGTTTTGAAACTCAAACTTGTATAACTATATTTATTATTCGCCCGTGGAAGATACTGCATTGTAATATATTTACGGCAATATTACACTAGTGTAATACCGCTAGACTAATGACATCATAATGGTTACAGTTATGACGTCACGCTGCAAATGACTGTCGCAATGGTATTAGAGCTTGCTTGACTCGTGGAAAAATGAGATGAGAGTCATCACACGGTATAGTAGTAGAAGGCAGTTTCTATCAATGTATGTTGGAGAGTAATACACAGAATACTAAACTCGCTTCCGTGAAATACCATTTTTATTAAACTCGTGAAAGATTTAGCATCAAATCATTAACTCGTTTAATAAAATTGGTACTACATTGAAGGTCGTTTAGTATCCTCTATATAGTATTCCCAGAAATGTTTGAGAATGTTGTTTCGGCAAATATCTAATACATGCATATAAACTATGGAAGTTTTACTTAAATGAATATGTTGAGATATGATTCAGTACTTGGTGAGACTTTCTTGCCCTGTATTACACGACTGAATGCGCCTAGGTATACTACCAACCAAAGTTTACAGGAAATCGTGTGACAGGTATCCCAATATTCGACCACTTCTTTCTTCATATCCTCAATATTTCTAAATCTTTTTTGGGTCGTTTTCATGCTGGAAAATCCGGTTTTCGGGTCGTTGGAAGGTGATGATCATTTAACATGTAAACATTTCATTCCTTCGTCAAATTCCCAGTGAAAATACACAGCGGTGTCACCCAACGTGATAATATCCCACCCTCCATGTGAAATTTCGGGCTGTGTTTTGGGCGTTGAATTGATAGATAGGTTTCACGGTATCTTTTGTCCAAATTTTCACACAGTTCGGAAAAAGCCAGACAAAAAATTCATCAGAAAAGAAGACGTTATCCCAGTCATGATTTGCGTGAACCCTACACCGGTTTAGACGTCTTTCTTTTTGTGCATCTTTCATCATCAATTTTCACCCAGTGAAATCTTTGTAATTCATGTCTAAGGGTTTCATTACGTACCTGAGGACTTCCTCTATTAATCATGTCATTTCTGATATTCTCAACGCTTTTCAAGTTTCCCCTACACACAATCTGACCAAGTCGCCGGCGATCCATAATAGTGATCTTCCTTGGCCTCACTGACCCTGTCTTCTGCTCAATCCCAACTCCTGACTGAATATTCTTCAAATTTCCGTATACAGTAGACAGAGGAATGTCAATATGAATGAGTTGCCTCACATATTGAGTACCTTACTACATAATGTAACACCTATTTTTAAAGTCTATTATCAGTATTGGGAAACATAGACTTTCTCAATAATTTCTGGGAAAACTGCACATATGTTGCGGTAGAAATACATGTATGTGGACATTCCCGTCTAAAAAATGTTAATTGATGTTTAGAAGATTTGTACATTCTTAATGTTTGTGAATTTAGGAACGCTGTGTTTTGCACATTTGTGTGCGAAGGAACAAGCATGTTTGCGGGTCTTGTAATATTCTCAATTCTTGGATTCATGGCACATGAAGCTGATGTGCCCATAATGGATGTCGTTTCATCAGGTACGCATGCTATATGCTGACTGACATATTTCATTTATAATGTTAGTAAGTCTTGTTAATGAAAGATTCCCTGGTATGGTGATCTACTTTCAGTTCTTGGCGATCTATAGCTTGTTTTTCTATTGTATCGTCCTCTATAGTCAAAGTATATAGTCAACTAGTTTTAAGGGGCGGTGGGGTAGCCTAATGGTTAAAGCGTTGGCTCGTCACGCCGAAGACCCGGGTTCGAATCCCCACATGGGTACAATGTGTGAAGCCCATTTCTGGTGTCCCCCGCCGTGATGTTGCTGGAATATTGCTAAAAGCGGCGTAAAACCAAACTCAGTCAGTCAACTAGTTTTAAATATATATCTGTGATAGTCTAGTTGGTTTTACTGTCCTTTGTCGACAGATATTTTAAAATGATTACCTTGTTTTCATCGTTACATGGCTGTAATATTGCCGATGCGATGTAAAATTTTAACTCACTCACTAATGAAAGATTCATTTTTAGAAACACATCACTTTCCCTGTTTCCTTTGACAGTAACAAATGACAGGCGTAATTAAGATAATGGAAACATGTCTCTGCTTGTTTTTCATATCAGAGCACGGCATTTCAAACAATCGACAACCAAATACGTCCAAATCTTCCACATGAGGATTTAGGTATTTTTGAAGTTGACTATTTGGCATCATTACTTTAGTGTAATCCCGTCGTCGCTGACTGCCAAACTAGTCGATAGGGCTCTCAACGAACATTCAGACCCTTAGGAAAATCCCATAGGACCCATAGGAAATTAACATTTCTCTGAAAATAACCGCTGTTGCATTGTACGATAGGCTTCACATTAATTAGCTATTGGCATAAGGTACTTGATTCTGATCGTACCTTGACTAATCAGAATGACGCATTCGTCAGTGGTAGAATAGCAAGTATACCCACTCTGTAACATACTGTATGTTCTAGGACCTGGATTAGGCTTTGTGATCTACCCAGAAGTCCTTGCTCAACTTCCGATTCCGCAGCTGTGGAGTTTCATCTTCTTTATCATGCTGATAATGCTGGCACTGGATTCCATTGTAAGCGCTTCTGACACAATCGCTAGAAATACTATATATGCTGTAGCAAGAAAGTAGTTCTGATTGCACCAGTACCAACAAGTTTTATGTTTTGTAAATAGATAAATAGCACAATCGAACAACATGGCTGAAGTGAAGGTCGACATCCAGTTAGGGTTCATGCAGGAAGGAAAGGTACTGCAAGTCCCCATGGTTATTAGTATGGTGATCTACCATCAGTTGTTGGTGATCTATAGCCTGTTATATATTGTATTGTCTATAGTCTTAAATGTACATGCTAGTTTTAACATGTGTTAATTACTATATGGCTGAAATACTGCCGATGTGACTACAAAATCGTAACTCACTCGCTCACATTAGGTAAAGCAAAAAGCAGACTACTACACACTATTACACAAAAATCTTCGAACCATGGTTTTGATGTCAGCTGTTTCAGAGATTTCAACCATTAGAGAATGGCATTGTCAAAGTATGTGGTATATTCTCATCAGCTGAACAAATTGGGTTGGAACTAGAAGTTTCTTGATGCGTAAAATATTTATGTCAATCGCAAATCAGAAAATTGCTGAAATAGACATCACACCAACTGAACATTAACGATTGAATTTCTCTTTTCAACTCCCTGTCCACCATGTGGGTCATTTATCACAAACCATTGTATCATAACGTTATGGTATTCCACATATCACATGTCCTGTATCTCATATCAATATATTTCCTAACATATGTTATATTTGGGATTGCACTTTCTCAGTAAATTACAGATTGTAAAACTTTTTGGGGCTGAGTCCCATCCGGGATTCGAACCCGCACCCTCAGAGTCAGGCACCTACTCGCCAGCACACAAAGTCAGACGCCTCGACCGCTCAGCCACCACGGCTTCCACAAAAATGGAAGTCGGACAACTGGTAGTCTAGACTGCGGACTTTGTGTACCCCTCTGATAAGTGTTAATTGGATTACTGAGAAAATCCCAAATATAACATACGTTACATTTGACTGCGTAGTTCGATGTTCATGCTGTTGATCACTGGATTGTTTGGTCCAGACTCGATTATTTACAGACCGTCGCCATATAGCTGGAATATTGCAGAGTGCGGCGTAAAACTAAACTCACACACTCACTGAATATATTTCCAGTTCTCAGCAGCTGAAACTTGTATAACCGCTGTCACGGACGAGTTCCGTTACTTGTTGAAGTGGAGAGTTTTGCTAACAGCAGCTTATTGTTCGGTGTGTTTTCTGGCTGGCCTGGTAATGACGACTCAGGTTTGTGACAAGCATTATCATTAAAATCTATTTGAATGTAGTTTTGCATGAAATAGTCTCGGCTGCTCAACAGAAAAGGTGGAGTAAAAAATCTTTAATGCCGTTGGGTAGCCAAGCGTTTTTGGTTCGTGCTCAGTGATTAAATCCAGGGTCCCATTTCAGGTTATTTAACAAATTTTACTAAAGACATATTGCTTAACTCATTATACTTGGGACATGTTTAGACACTCGACAGACCCTACATACCTACATACCCTACTGGAGACATGTTACCTAACTCATTATACTTGAGATGTGTTACGTTAAATGATAATGAGACCGCCTCCGTGGTGTAGTGGTTAGAGCGTCCGCCCGGAGAGCGGAAGGTCGCGGGTTCGATCCCCGACCGCGTCTTACCAAAAGACGTTAAAATATGGTACTTGTTGGTCCCTGCCTGGCGCTCGGCATTAATGGGTACAACAAGGACTGGTCGGCTCGGAGTCAGTATAATGTGTCTGAGTGGGGTATTCATGTTCCACTGCGGCATGGTATCTCAGTGGGCTAGCACTATAAAACCAGCTTAAGTCTGGGCTAGTACAAGCAGTCGCACATACACATACACACACTTGCACGTCGTCATATGAGCGAAATATTCTCAAGCACGACGTTAAACCCAATTTCTAAGGTTTTTTCCCGGGGGCTTCTTCCGGTTACTTTGAATGTGATGACTATCGTGAACTGTAACACAGTTGTCATGATTATTTTCCCTCTACTTTCAGGGGGGTGTATACGTATTTCAGTTGCTAGACTGGTACCTCTTCTCTCTGTTCCTCATCTTCTGTGGTTGTGTAGAGTGTATAGTAGTTTCATGGGTCTATGGTAAGTGCTGCGGACATTAATCATTTTAGAATTCTTGAATATCTTTAAGCAGCTATAATCGCCTTCACTGCGACAATAACGCGTTCCACAATAGGAGTTGCAATGTCTTGGTTGGTTATCTCCTAATTGAGACCCATTTGACAGACAGTCGATTGGCGGACACTGAACTAGAACATTAATTAGGGTAACACCTACAGGTATAATGGAACAGTCCACTGTCTAGTGAGTAGTCGAGTTGAGTTGAGTCTGAAACAGGTTCGTTACTGAGAAGTTTGATTGTGTGTAAATAGAACTTTGTAGTGATTAAATGAAACTGTCTTCTCTTCTCAAAATTGTTTTGAAGTTCACTGAGAAAACAAACGTTTGTTTGAGAGATACAGATATATACATATTTGATTCTGATTTTCAGTAATTAGGAGACCTGCATTGCCATGTAAGATAAGATTAATACCAGTCAGTGTTCTAATGTTACAATACTTTCTAAAGATTGTAACAGTTTACGTCTTTGAATAGTATAGTACAATGGACATTCAAGAAAGTATTGAAAAACATTCCCACATCCATTGCCGCATTTTTTACAATGTTTTCAATACGATGCCGCCAACTCCCGTTAGACGAGAAGGTTAAACCCAAATGTTTATGAAAATCAACTGTTTTATATTGCAGCAATCAAAATTCAAATTAATGTCTTTTTGGCCATCTTTCAAAGTAAATAATATAGCTCCAGTATTTTTCTCGTGTTTTTATTTGGACTATTCCATTATAATATGTAGGTAACAGGTATTAGCTAATTTGTTCATTGAACCGTAAATGTTGTTTTAAGGCGTCTGCGAACTGCCTGTCTGCGTAATGGGAGGACACCTCTTGGTTGGTTGGTTCTTATGTAACGCCACACTCAGCAATGTTCTTTCTATATGGCGGCGGTTTGTAAAATATCGAGTCTGGACCAGACAATCAGTTCTAACCCGGATCTTCACGGGTCAGTTGCAGTGTCTAGACGGTTATGTGTTTACATAACTGCATGAATACTTGATGATATGATACACATTTTGTCATAGAATGTATCAAATACTGGTTGTCATGTTATAGATAAACCATTATCATCAAAGGTTTCCTGTTGCTGGTTATAACATTTCTTGAGAACATTTCAGAATTTGATGCATCAGTGACAAAAGTTATGTCTGGTGCAATACCCTATTTTGACTTGTACCATATGTTTACCTTTCTTTTAGAGTGAGTGAGTTAATATTTAACGTCACATCGGCAATATTTCAGCCATATTGTGACGAAAACATTTGATATTGAAATGAAATATATGTATATTATAAAAAACCTGTCGACGAAGGACAGTAAAACAACTAGAATATCACAATTACAACTAAAACTAGTATGGAGAGTTAAAACTGCCCATTTCTTTTAGATGAATTATTGACTAGACTTTGAATATGTTTATGACGGAGGAAGCCTGTTGGGCAGGATACGTTCACCTTTTCGCGAACACCTCTTACCATCAGTAACTGATAGTGATTCATAAACAAACGCTCTGTCACTGTATCTCATGATGTCAATCACTGGATTGTCTTGTCTAAACTCGAATGTTTGCAGACCACCTTCATACCACTGTAAAATAGCTGAATGCAGCTTTAAACAAGCAAACACACAAACGGACGAAGAAACAAAACACTTATGATATAGTCAGAATTGTACAATCGACAGATGCGGAAAGGGTTTTGTCACCTATATATGCAAGAAGATCAGTTTTATGGTATACCTAATCATGTATAGCATGCCAGTGGTCTATATATCCAGACACTGTAATACTAGTATTCGTATCACTGGAGCGGTGGGATGGCCTAGTGGTTAAAGCGTTCGCTTGTCTCGCCGAATACACGGGTTCGATTCCTTTCATGGGTACAATGTGTAAAGACCATTTCTGTGCCCCCAGCCATGATATTGCTGGAATATTGCTAACCAAACTTACTCACTCACTCATTTATATCACCGCTGAAACTTGTATGCCGTGACAGCAGTTGAGTATGTCTTCTAATTTTCACTTTCCAGGGGTGGATCGTTTCAGCGACGACATTCAGATGATGATTGGCAGACCAGCACCACTGTTCTTCAAGATCACGTGGTGTTATGTTACACCATCCATGCTTCTGGTTAGATTCTGCACGTTGATAACATCCTGATATTACTTGCTACATGATTAATGACACATAGGTCTTGGTAGTAAATTGTTCGCTTAATAATACCATCAAGAAAAGTTACGTACATTGTAGGTCACAAAAACAGTCCGGTCAGTATCGAAGTAGTTTTTTGCAAAACCATTTTACGAGTCCAACTCATTGCTAACCGAAAGTAATTACCTTCAATAGGTACAAAACAGCAGTATACATTTACATTTTCAGATTACCCTAATCTTCACCTTTACTCAGTACGAACCTCCAACCTATGGACAGTATGTCTTCCCGGGCTACGCCTCAAGCATTGGTTGGTGTATTGCAGCCGTCCCAATGTTGCCAGTAGGCGTGATGATGGTTATTGCTATTTACCGGGCAAAGGGGAACATTTGGCAGGTAACTAGTCTGGCATCTATACGCTTTTTGTATCTCTTTTCTCAAATGTGGTTAAGATAAAACGACATAATGTTTATCACTATTCCATAGTAATTCGTATACACATGCTATGTTATCGTATCGCATGGATTGTCTGTGGTTCAGATTGTCTGTGGTTCAGAAGCCAGACCCCCAAAATAGTGAAAACGTGGTGCAGTTCTGGCGACCGAATTTGATGTGATTTTTCAAAATCAAGTGAGTGAGTGAGTTATATTTAACGTCACATCGGCAATATTTCAGCCATATCGTTCACAATCAAGAATGATTTAGCTTTGATTTAAAGCCGGTTGTCATCAGCTACAGTGCGTTCGTTTTAAATTACATTTAGCGGTCTAAAACCAACGATAAAGGACCGCGACATCGAAAACAGAGTAGCTTTATCTTCTCATTAAAAGATTTTTATCAAATTGAAAATTATATTCCTTCGAAAAATATCAACATGGATTCATTTCATAGAAAATGGGATATAATATCACCAGCGCTGTGACTGTTATGACTTTATCTTACAACGATGCTGTACTTGCATTTCATTTGTGATTCCACGATCTTGCACTCAGTCATCTATTCCAAGCAGCTGAATGTGTATGTGCGCCTTTCTAAGCATGTTGTCTCTCACTTATATTCTCTCGGAATATTGATGTATCCAACTGAAGTGAATTACAAAAAAAACACACAAAAAACTCCAACAAAACAAAACAAAAACAACACATATTCAATATCATAAATACATGTCAATCAGGTGAAGGGACAAGAATTAGCCTAGAAAAGTCGTGTTGTTAAGATGAAAGAAGTCGTAAATCCAAACCAAACATTGTTATGTTACCTTCCAACTTTTACATGCCTATTTTGACCTACCTTTAGTACCCGTCACACACACACACACACACACACACACACACACACACACACACTTATCCTGCTTAGATGGATTTAAACAAACAAACACACGCACAAAACCCAAACAAATGCAATAAAAGGCTACACAGCGTGCTAGTTCAATATTGGATCTTACAACAGTAAGTGGGAGAAATATTGATATATGTTCTTAATAAAAAACAATAAGCAGATCCGGGGCATGTTTCCGTCCATAATTACAGGAACCGGACAGGTTATACAAAGCGTAAGTCTCTGAAAATATGAAATACATAACTCCGTTTACACTGAATTAGCAACAGTGAGCTCGGAGATTCAGAACCAGTGGGGGTCTAGACTCGCTTGATTTTGGACTTTTGCATTAGAGAAAAGGTTGGGCGGAAAGATTGGAGTATGAGACAGACTACTGGCATGTCTAAGCTCCCAGCGATACAGAGCGAATTTGGCCTTTCAAGAAGGGAAACGCTTAAGACAAACCTCATCTCCTACTAATGTTAGCATTCGTATTTCGGAAAATAAATATATAGATCTGGGCAAGCAGAAGATGTCTTCCATTTAAAACACGATTTGCCGATCACAGTGGCTTCATAATGTCTGTAGGAACAATGCAACTACAGCCGACTCGGTAGTGTTCATCTAGGTGAGGTCTGTCAGTATTTTAGAACTGGTGTTCATCAGCTGATAATTCACGTGAGCCAATTCCATGACGCGCTAACTATTGTCAGTTAACTAACTCGCTGCTTGAAGGACAACGTAGTCATGCGACATACTGAAATCAGGAAATGAACGACAGTTGGTCTTTAGTATCCTTCTAGGTAAGTTTCCCCAATACTGTCAATATTTTAGGACTGACGTCGTATTGTTGATCTTCATCACATGCTGAAGACAGTGATTCACGTGAGCCAATTCAATGATGCGCTAACTATTGTCAATTCATTAACCCTCTGCTTGAAGGACAACGTAGTCATGCGACATACTGAAATAGGGAAATGAACGACAGTTGGTCTTTTAGTATCAATCTAGGCGAGGTCACACATTACTGTCAATATGTTTATACGATTTCAAGGTTTTCCGCGCAAAATCTAACTCTTAAGCGTCTGTAAACGTCTATACCAGCTTCTCTGCGTGTACTGAATGGCTGATAGTAATTAAATGTAACTTGACAATTTTCTCTCTGGGGTACGATTTATGCAGAGACCAGTTGATATTGGCAACATGCATTGTCTTGTCAATAACAGCTTTTGGAATGATCCACAATCCATATCATGAGATTGACTATGAGATTGCATATATTCATTAACCATTTTCACAGGTTCACCTATATGTTGGGTCAAAATTGATCTTCAGCAACCCATGGTGTAGTAGGAGCGAACAAATGTGATCGGGTGGTCGTTCTCACTTCGTTGTTTGATGCATGCCATCCTATACCACTTGCGACGATCGATAGTGTCATGACCTCGTAACGCTTTTGTATATCATTAGATATTACTAAAACAGGCCTACACTTTCTATGAACGTTACAGTAGAAGCAAGAATTGTCAATCATTTAAGAATATCCTTGAGTTGTCCATAAAAGTAGGCACTTAATGTTTTGTATTAACACTTCCGTCGTAATAGACCTTCATCAATTATTCCTCTGTGATAAAGTCGTTTCCGTGGACATTCTTATCTGTACATGTAAAACTCAATGTACAGGAAGGTGTAGCTGAGTCTGAACCTGCTGTGTACTTCAGCATGTGGATGTGGACTTGAAACATGTTCCCGTGATCTGGACATTGTTGACACTGACTTACATGTGAACTGAGAATACACTATGATTATTAAGAACAGTAGATATGAAGGAAATAGTGGAATAATGACATGACTGACTCACCATTATTTGATGAGCAAAAAAAAAGACATCTGAAACAATAGAATTTTACATTTCAGAACTTTCTGTTATGCTCGACCACTTGTCGAGATTTGATTGTTTACAAACAATATCGTAAAGCTGTAATACTGCTGAAAGAAATATACCCATGGTATAGTTAGAATTGTTCTATCGACTCAATGTAAATGACACTACATGTTTCCGTTAGGTGACGATAAAGAACATTCATGTGAAGACCCGGGCTAGAATATGTCGTAAGAGGCGACTGACGGGATCGGGAGGTCAGGCTCGCTGACTTGGTTGACAAATGTCATCGTATCCCAACTGCTTAGATTGATGTTCATGATGTTGATCACTGGATTGTCTGATTGCTTTAACAACTAGGCTACCCCACAACTCCCCTTTTCTTTGTGCAAGCATAGTCATTATGTTGATTGTATTATTTGTATTTCAGAAAATAAAGACGTCCTTAGAACCAGATGCAGGATGGGGGCCAACTAATGCTTTCTATCGCACCTGTTACCTTAAGAAACGAAAACAACCCAAGTCACTGAGACGTGTTTTGATGTCTTCAGTGTCATGTCGATCGTAGAAAAAAGCATTGAGAAAATACCATCCTAATATTACAAAATAGACTGTAGCTGACACGTGTGTCAATGATTCAATCAAATTTAATAAAACGTTCATTCCAATGTAATAACTGGCAATGTCCGCTTTTCTTACATGTTAATTAGTTTCAAAGTATTGTTTCATTCGTATTATTTCTTACATTTATGGAGAATAATGTGATTGTCTTTGAAAATATTTTTGAGTTGTTGTGCCAGGGTGCATATGGAAATGGTTTGGTGATGGGAGCCTCAGAAAGTCATCTAGGTGACATTTTGGGAATGCCCCTAGTGCTGTGCTTACTAAGCCCATCTTCCAATAACTACTGGAGGTTAACACCCACCCTTTGTTAACACATAAGACATGTTCATTTTCACAACTTACACTCACAGCATACATTGTCGTATAAAATGATAGACCCAAGTACTGAGGGGTACTGATGTGACAAATCTAAAGCCACATGCCAGAAGCATGACATTATAGGAGGAGAAGGACATGGGTATCGACATGTTAAAACATCTGCCTTGTTTAGGGGCAGTGTGGTAGCCTAATGCTTAAAGCGTTCGCTCGTCACGCCAAAGACCCGTCTTCGATTCTCCACATGGGTAAAATATGTGAAGCCCTTTGCTGGTGTTCCAGATGTTGTCTGGTGAGGTATAATGGCTGGAATATTGCTGAAAACGGCGTAAAACTAAACTCACTCACTCACGCTGACATAGGCATGTTTACAAAATATAGTAACGTCGTTACAACCGTCACATTAAACAAAACATTCCAGAGACCTATCTGCTGACGGTGATGTGTCTAAAGCGTCTGTTTGGAGTAAGTTTCACTATTTAGACTGACTGACTGACTGAATTTGGTTTTACGCCGCTTTTAGCAATATTCCAGCAACATCACGGCGGAGGATACCAGAAATGGGCTTCAAAAATTGTACCCATGTGGGGATTCGAACCCGGGTCTTCGGCGTGACGAGCCAACGCTTTAACCACTAGGCTACCCCACCGCCCCTCACTCTTTAGAAGAGATTTGAATCGTTTATCTTGTTATGAATTTGAAAGACTGATGATGTTGCTGCACCAAGTTTGATGTAGGTTGTCAAAGGGAGTGTTTGGTTCTATGCCGCTTCAGCAATATTCCAGCAAAGTCACGGCGGGAGATACCATAAATGGGCTTCACACATTGTACCCATGTGGGGAAACGAACCTGGGTCTTCGGCGTGACGAGCGAACTCATTAACCACTAGGCTACCCCACCGCCCCAGGTCGTCAAAGAGTCTGTGTTAGCAGGTAGATATAAACAAGCTTTTATCACCAATATTCTAGAATAAAAATACAAAATCAAATCAAAGTCAAACAGAATATTCTTAATGTAGGTGGACCAGGTTGCCCGGCAGGTATTGAACTAAACAGTTAGCGTCTAATAACTTAGCGTCTGAGCTAAGGGGAATCACCATACAACAGTATTTCACAGCTCTGGTCCCGTAACTAAATTGCAGAGGAGCAAAGAACCGTGACATTTCGTGGGGTTTCACCATATATAAGAAACAGATCAAATACTGGTTGTAATGTTATCATTGAAAGCTGAACCATTATCATCAAAGGTTGATATTCGTTGATAACATTTCAAAATTTGATGCATCAGTGACAAAGATTATGTCTGGTGCAATTCCCTATTTTGACTTGTACCATATGTTTACCTTTCTTCAGATGAATTATACACATGCAGCCTTTGCATATGTTTATGACGGATGAACCCTGTAGGGCGAACACCTGCTGTCATCAGTAACTGGTAGTGATTCATAAACAAATGCTCCGTCACCGTATCTCACGATGTCAATCACTGGATTGTCTGGTCTAAACTCGATAGTTTGTAGACCACCTCCATACAGCTGTAAAATAACTGAATGCAGCGTTAAGTAAACGAACGATACAAACAAGCGCTTAGGATATAGTCATAATTGTACAATCGACAGAGAACGGATGTGGAAGGGGTTTTGTCATCTATATATGCACGAAGATCAGTTTTATGCCTAACCATGTAATATTGTAACATTCGTATCACTAGAGCGGTGGGGTAGCCCAGTAGTTCGATTCCCCACAAGGATATAGCGTGTGAAGCCCATTTCTGGTGTCCCCCCTTGAATATGGCGTGAAACTAAACTCACTCACTAATTTATGGGGGGCGGTGGGGTAGCCTAGTGGTTAAAGCGTTGGCTCGTCACGCCGACCCGTTCGTGATGTTGCTTGAATATGGCGTGAAAGCGGCGTAAAACTAAACTCAGTCAGGCACTAATTTATCACTCACATATAATTTTATGCTCTACGTTTATCATGATTATACATCTGTATTTTGTATCTGTTTTTATTTGTATCTGGGATTTATATACAGTCAAATCCCTAGTGGTTCGAAAAGCGTTGGCTCGTCACGCCGAAGACCCGATGACTCGAGGGTGTCGATTCCCCACATGGGCAAAAGGCAATTTGTTAAGCCCATTTCCGGTGTGCCCCCCCGCCGTGATATTGCTGGAATATTGCTAAAAGCGGCGTAAAACTAAACTCAGTCAGGCACTAATTTATGGATGTCAGCATTTTTGTAACGAAACATATGTTAAATATTTAGAATTGAACTTTTGAACGTTTTGTTAATATGTTTTCAATCCAAATGGGGACTTACAACAGACCCATCAGTGCCGATACAGTGCGTTGACGTTGCGCGGATGAAACCTCTGCTGGCACAGATCCTATCGTAGTCCTGTCCGCACCGCTCATCACCACCCAAACCGACTGCAATGGGCAACCCAGCATCGAAATTGGCGTTATCGATAGTGGAGAACTATGTTTTTATCTCATGAAAGCCGATACATTGTATTGTGTTTCGACAGTCGATGTCAGAGAGAGAGAGAGTATGGTGAAGGCGAGGGGAACTGTTTTCCAATGATTGTATTGTTGAAAGAGACTCGTGGGGTGGTCCAAGCATCATAGTGTGGGGTGCAATCGGTCCGAACCCGTTAGTTGACACCGTGGTGTTTCAGAATCTTGGTCCAGGATGAGGAAATGACGTGACAGCTGATCGCTATATTGACCAAGTCATAAGACTCCACGTTGCACTACATTTTGGTTGCAGAAAAAACATCTTCCAGCCAGACAACGCTCGTGCCCACACTGCAAGAGGAACATTGAACTTCCTTAGACAACATAGCATCCAAACGCCATAATAGCTCTCAGTCCGGATTTAAGTCCAATAGAACACCTTTGGGACGAGATTCAAACAAGACTGAATAACCTCCAACCAAGGCCAACAACTGCGGCTGGACTCGATAAGGCATTTCGCAGAGTATGACTCAGGTGCCTATGGCCTTCATCAACCGGTTAATTCATTCCATGTACAGACAATGCAACGTTTTCATCAATGCCCATGGAGGCCATACACGATACTGACTTTGGGGTATCTTAATGGTACCAGTTTTTGGTGATTTTGTTTGTTTGAACTCTAAATGTGATTCCCGAAAATGTGTTAACCATAATTGTCAAGTTTGAACTCCGTTTTGATTGTTAATTAGAATGAATTAAAGTGTGTGCTTTGTCTGGTCCAGACACGATTATTTACAGACCGCGGCAATATAGATGGAAAATTGCTGAGTGCGGCGTAAAATTAAACCCGTTCAATCACTCGGTAGTTCATAGTTGGTATTGCTGCCTGCAGACTAGGATCAGGGCCATCAAGGAAGAGCTGTGTGCTATCTGCATATTGACCTAATGTGTCGCCCATTCAGAATTATCCCTTTGATATGTAGAATTTGTCTTATCCTATGCTCAGAATATCTGCCACACAGGGTGATAAAGGATCTCTTTCGTTCATAAAAGCAGATGACATGTGGTCATTTTGTAAAATATACAAATTAGCCTTTTTACGTAAGACTGATACCTGTTTTCTAAATTTTGACCTAAAAACTTTTTCGATGTCGATAAGCAATAATAGTATTGTTTTCTTTCATTATACCATTATAAATACGTTATATACAGTGTTCCGAAGTTATGTTGATCGCCAATTTAGAAAATATTTTCTATTTGTGTCTGTCTTTGGAATATAAGTTATAACACCTCTATTCATCACAATAGGCAATCCTTTTTTTTCAAATACCTCTTTTAATTACTAGCATCTGAAAATCCATATTTGAGATCACTCCAGATAAAGGTTTGAAGAATTCTTTGGGAAACCATCCTACCCTAGGTTTTGTTATTTTTCATTGATTTGACAGAAATAGCAATTTCCTCTAGATTCGGTCAGCTGTGTATCTAATCATGGTATTGCCATATTACAAAATTTATTTTTCAAATCTTAATAGTTTTGAAGATGTATATAATTTTAAAACAATTTCTGTTCCTCACGATTTTGTTTACCATCAATAATTTCATATTCTTTATCTTTTACAATACTAATTATTAACTTATTAACTTTTCGTAGTGGCAAAAGTATGCGATGGGCGTCTCACCTTTTTCATTCCACTGGACCATGTTTCTAATAAGAATCTCTCTAATCTGTTCTTCTGTCTTCCTCTGTTATTTGTTTTTGTTTAATGTGCGTTAACGCCGTATTCAGCAACCAGCTATATGGCGGCGGACTGTAAGTAACTGAGGTTGGTCCACTGTGGTGAAAAGACACACACAACAGAAGATTGTGACAGTAATGTCAACAAATGCACAAACTGCACAGGGGATCATCCGTCTTACTCTAAAGACTGTCCTGTTTGGAAAAACAAATGGCTATCAATAGAATAAAATTCACCCAAAACATTAGTTTTGCTGACGCAAAGAAACTTGTTCAAAGCTCAGAACAGAGAGCTATGCAACTTTTGAAGCAACCCTTACAGTCACCAAATTATCTGCAAGTTGTCAGACCAACTTAACATGGGTGAAAACAGATTCCCCTCAAATTATCTCACCTGCCATATCTACTCAAACAGCAGAACCTCTACCTAGTACTTCCCGAATCCAATCAGAAGAATCGACTGATCATGAACCATCTTCTCAGTCGACAATAAGGTCTCAACAAATCGTTAAGACCAAAAGTAAAAAGCCAGATTCATCGAAAAAGCTGAGTGGCAGAGCACCAAAAGGGTCAGAAAATAAAATTAAATTGTTCAACAATTAGGGATCTCTCGAGAATATGGACGTGTCCGAAAACGTCCGTTCTAGGGCACACAGCTTGTCGCCCATCAAAAGAGTGCGGGGTAGATCCCCAATAAAACCCACAGAAGATAGGTTATCAGAATAATACTATACAGTCCAATTGCAGAGGATTAAGGACTAAATTTCAATGACTTGCAGCTTTTAGTCAGCGATTTAAAACCATCAGCGTTCTGTCTGCAGGAGACCTATTTAAAACGGATAGATGTTTTTGTCCTACGTTCTTTCAATGCATATCATTGTTTTTCACCTCCGGGCGACAGGGCCACTGGAGGATCTTCCATCCTAGTCAAACAGAACTTTATCCATAGTCTTGTTTCACTTACTACTAATTTGCAGGCTGTTGTAGTGCGTCTTCAACGTTTCACAAAACCGATCTTAAAGCTCTATATGATCAACTGCCGAAACCCTGTATTATCATGGGAGATTTAAACGGGTACAAACCACTCTGGGGTGGTGCAACTACAAATGCTAAAGGTAAACTACTGGAGGAGTTTTGTTCAGATAATGATTTATGTATTTGTAATGATGGTTCCAACGTATATTTACACCCTGGTACAGGAACATATTCTGCTCTCGACTTGTCAGTCACAAATTCAGAACTTCTGAATGAATTCGAATGGTCAGTCCACGATGACCTCCGTGGAAGTGACCATTTTCCTACTATACTAAAAGCTGTAACTCCGTCTGATGTTCCACCATCATCAAGGCGGAATTTGTAAAAAAGGCTAACTGGGCTCTAACTTAAACCTGAACTCTTTATTGATGTTCCTGATGCTGTCAAATGTTTTTTTTCTGATGAACTGAACATCATAGCTGATGAGCGTATGCCAAAGTCCTCTGCAATTCCACACAATCGAAAACCTTGGTTCAACGATGAGTGCAAACAAGCTAGGAAGGCAAGGAAAGAAGCAGAACATTATTTCCGTCGCCACCCTATGGTGCATAATTTAAATGAATTTAAAATTTTAAATACTAAAGAGTGGCGTAGCTTTAAACAGAATAAATGCCAATCTTGGCAAAATTATGTATCCAAAATAAATTCTCGAACGCCCATGTCCATAGTATGGAACATGGTACAGAAAAGTAAAGGTAAAGGTACTAAATCTAGTGTCCATCATCTTAAACATGGATATCAATTACTTACTGAAATTGTCAAAAAATAGTTATCTACTTTTAAAGATATATACTAGCTAGTTTTAACTCATTTTGTGATTTTACTGTCCTTCGTTGACTGGGTTTATATATGATATGATATGTATGTATTACGAATTTAGAACTAGTTTTAGTCACGAGATGGCTGAAATATTGTCGATGTGACTTTAAATTTTAACTCACTCACTCACTTACTGATAAATCAGATATTGCGAATAAACTGGGTGAAACCCTCGCTAAACACACTTCCTCTTCTATTCAGGCACCTAAATTCCAACAATATCAAAAACAACAAGAAAAGAAAACTATTAATTTCAATTCAGATAATGGGGAAGATTATAATGAAATATTTTCTATTCATGAGCTCCATACTGCACTTGAACAAGCTCACGATACTGCTACAGGAGCTGATAACATACATTAGCAACTTCTGAAGCACTTACCAGAATCCTGTCTAGAGACTCTTTTAAATATGTTTGATGGTATTTGGACGTGAGGTAAATTTCCTCTTTCATGGCGTGACGCTATAGTAGTACCAATACCTAAACCTGAACGTGATCATACAGATCCGTCAAATTATCGACCGATTTCCCTAACTAGCTGTGTTTGCAAAACCATTGGACGCATGCTAAATAATCGACTCTTTGGTACTTGGAAACAAATAACCTTATAGCAGATATACAGATATTTTTTCTCAATCAAAAACTAATCGTATACGCTTCTGTACATAAGCCGCATAAGGACCGGGAACTATTTTTAAATGGTACTCCCATCAAAGTTGTCAAGGAGGCCAAGTTCTTGGGTCTAATTTTCGACTCCCATTTAACTTTTCTTCCTTATATCAAATCCCTAAAAAATAAATGCCTGAAGGCACTCGATTTATTGAAAGTCGTTTCTAATTCAAAGTGGGGAGGGGATCACTATACCCTCCTTCATCTATATAGATCACTGGTCCGCTCGAAGCTTGATTATGGCTCCATCGAATATGGTGGAGTCTGCAAAAGCAACCTAAAACTTCCACCTTGGGCTAAGACTTTGTTTTGGGTCTTTTAGAACTTCTCCTGTTGACAGTCTCTACGTCGAGGCAGATGAGCCATCTTTTGCACAGCGCAGTCTAAACTCTCCTTACAGTATATTACCAAAATATATTCTAACAAATCTAACCGTGCATATAGCTGTGTCTTCAATCCCCTCTATGAGGATTTATACGCCACGAAATCTTCTCTTGTTCCGCCTCCAGGAATAAAAATTAAACCTTTCCTTTTTGCTGATGGCAAAGAATATATCTCCTTCCCGTCTTCTTTCTTTTTCTCCTTGGCAATTGGTTAGGCCACAAGTTGGCATAACATTAACCACATTTAGAAAGTCAGAAACTAATTAATTGCAGTATAAACAAGAATTTAGTCAATTAAGAAAAAAATATAATACATATAAATCCTTATTTACAGATGGATCCAAGGATGGTGGCGCAGTTGCTTGTGCCACTGTCATTGGATCCAGGACACTATCTTCTCGATTGCCTGGTAATAGCTCTATTTTCACAGCAGAAGCAAAGCCATATTAACAGCCTTAAAATATATTAATAAACACCCTAAATATAAACACTATATCATATTTTCTGACTCTCTTTCGTGCCTTAAGGCTATTAAAAATCTTTCTTGTAAACATCCTGTTTCAATAGAAATTACAGAATTATACAATGATCTTGCTACTGGCCAATGCGACGTTGGGTCCATGCAGGAAGCAAATGGACTGTAAGTCCCCATGGTCCCTAGTATGGCGATCTACCTTCGGTTGTTGGCAATATATAGCCTGTTTTTATATTGTATTGTCTTCTATAGTTAAAAGTTTTTCATACTAGTTTTATATCTATATCTGTGATCCTCTAGTTATGCTACTGTCCGTCGTTGACAGGGTGTTATAACTTGACTTAAATTATTGCGACTTTGTTTATTATTCAAATCCTCGTCACGATATGGCTGCAATATTGCCGATGTGAAGGTAAATTTTAACTCACTCACTCACTCTAACCCGCATCTTTCACGAAACTTGACCATTGTCGCAGTGAAGAGAATGTTACTATCTCTGTTTTTATTGCTGTAGTCACTGTCTATGTTGTGTGCTTCCGTTTAATATGTATTCACAGTATTGCCACTGTAATACCTTTGTAGTGATTTGCATTAACCTGAACACTTAGTTCACTTTAGACGATGATTGTTGACTACGTCTCAATTCTTAGGTGTTGGGTTCACATCAAGTTCTTTTACAACTGATTCCCGGTTACCTTTTATTTCCGACCCGTGAAGATCCGGGGTAGAATAGGCCTTCAGCAACCCATGCTTGCTATGAAAGGCGACTATGCTTGTCGTAAAAGGCGACTAACGGGATCGGGTGGTCAGGCTCGCTGACTTGGTTGACATATGTCATCGGTTCCCGATTGCGCAGATTGATGCTCATGCTGTTGATCACGGGATTGTCTGCTCCAGACTCGATTATTTACAGATCGCCGCCATATAGCTGGAATATTGCTGAGTGCGGCGTAAAACTCAACTCACTCACTCACCTTTTATTTCCAACCTGGAAATCAACACATGACAATATACACACAGGCAGATGTAATTCTTGATATTCTTTTTACCGAACATGTCATAATAGTTATACAACAGTGAGGATACACGTATGAATATCTGAACAAAGAAGGTCTTCTAAATCCAATATGGCTGACATGACCTAAACCACCATGACCATCACAACATAATCTACATGCACTGTCTACTTCTACACAAACAAAGAAGCGGCATCTCATAGTTTCATGGTTTAACACATATATAACATTTAAAATGATTGTCAAACCTGAAATTGATGTATCTGCAAAGTCGACAATAAACCTCCAATACAAGGCCTTACACTGAAAATGTACACCAGTCGCACGCACGCACGCACAGATACACCGGAAATTGCACAAAGTAAAATTAAGCAATGTCCTTTTCCTATTACCTTACGAAAAGTATCCGAACCTACCAGTTCTTTGTGTTTTAAATAGTGTCAGATTGTCATGTATCACACAAATACAACCATAATGTTGAAACATCATATAAGTTTGTATTTTCAGACTTTAGGAGCAATTGCAACTTTCGCCACAAACTCGAATAAGGGAGAGTTGGGCCCCTTTTCAGGCCCTGCTTCATTGTGTAACCAGACTGGTAAGTAACTCTCATGGTGTGTACATACAGTGGTATTGGTGTCGTCACACATATGTCTGGCAGAGGAATATTTGTTGGTCAGACGTTTCTTGGCATCTATCCTCACAGCATCCCGTACGTATCCAAATCCGGAATGTTGAAACAATGATCTTCAATGATTCATTAATGACTCACGTTTCATTGGTTTAACGCCAAGATCAAGCATACGCTTCTTCCAACATCTCTCATAAATGATCAGTAGCACTCTTCATGAACGCTACCACGAAGCAAGTAGAATTTCAGGCCTAAAACCGCGTCCATTTTGCTTTTCCCTATTGCCAAAGTTAGTCGCCGGGGATAAAGCTTTTATTGTACAAGTTTCATGCCTTGAACTCAAAGTGTTTGACAATTAACTGCACCAATTTACAACTGGAATAGTGCAACGTTAAAGAGTAAGTGAACATTTTAAACCTCCCCTTTAAGGCCCGCAGGCGGGAAGAGATGAAATAGACCAAAGTGAGACGGACAATAAACAACACCTCATATCATAGGCCTGATCATGCGTGTGGGTTTTTTTATATTTGGAATACAGTTCACAAGTTTTAACTATTCAGTAGAACACAATACACAAGAGTGTCAGAGAACATGCCACCAAACTATGTTTTAATCTTGGCCCTCAGCAGGTGCTTCACAAAAGAAGCCCTTCAAACCAAGGCACATGACATCATCCCACTTGAATCCGTTTTGTGACCAGGCATAACTCAGGCAGTTATTTAAAGGCCACGGATCTGCCCCTTCCTCGCCCCAGTAGTCATTGACGATGGGAGTCCCATCAACCCACTTCCATTTTTCCTTATATAAGCCCGAGCTCCAGCCTCCGACCCAGATTGTCTTGAGGTTAGCTGTAAACAATCGATTGATAATGTTACCTGCGCACAACACAGAATACTCAATCGAGTGAGTGAGTTAAGATTTTTAGTCACATCGGCAATATTTCAATTAGTGAGAAATAGAGTTTCATTATAAAATCTGTCAGAAAAGAACAGCAAATCAACTAGGATCAAAGATAGATTTAAAAGCAGCAAGCATATAACATTAAAATTAGAATAGTATTAAGGACAATACAAATGAAACCGGATCAAAATAAAAACTTCACAATTCATTTTAAATGCAAAGATGAATTGTTATAGTAGACAGCTTTCGGGTATGATAACATTAATCTCCAAGTGTCGACTCAGGGAAAAGGTTACAACAGCATATTGAAGTAAATCCAAACATCGTGCACCCCACAATAGTGCTAAAACGTGTTTTTCACGTGTCACTGGTCATGTGATTTTATCATTTGCATCTGCATTCGATCGCACGTTCAAATCAACTGTAGAAAGTGAGTTAACTCTTTGAAACACTATTCAGGCAATTCTTATCCCCCGCCTCTCAAATGTGCAGCGTGAACCTGCCGTTGGCAGGCTTAAAGCGGAAACGTCGGTAAGTGACGTTGCAAGGACAGTGGGGTGCAGCCGTCGGACTGTTTATGATTTTCAGACTCGACTGCAACAAACTGGCACCACTGCTGATCGCCCTACTCCAGGTCGACCACGTGTGCCATCACAGGCGGAGGACCGTCAGATTGTGTCACGTCACCTCCGTAACCGTTTTTTAAAGGCTACAGGAACCAGAAATGAGCTGTTTAGGGGTCGTTTGTCGGCACAAACCATCCGAAACCGGCTGCAGACTGCTCACCTTCGTGTTCGCAGAACCATTTTGACGCCATTGCATCTACGTCAGCATCTGCTGGGGGCCCGATGACACCTCCGATGGACTCGGAGAGACTGGAGTCGTGTTGACTTCAGTGATGAATCAAGATTCACCCTCATATTCACTGATGGTAAGATGAGTGTGTGGAAGCGACGCCGTGAACGTTATGTTCAGTGTTGTGTACAGGAAGTTGACAGATTTGGGGTGCTGTCTGTGGCATTGCTCGTTACCGACTTCTGGTTATCCGTTGGAACCTTAATGTTGCAGGCTACCGCGACCAGGTGCTAGCCCCCGAAGCTATTCAATTCATGGCAGCAGGTGGTCCAGGTCTGTACTTACAATATGACAATGCCAGACCTCATACAGCCATCTTGACTTACCTGCAGAAGGCAGGAATAAACGATCTTGACTGGCCGTTAAGGTCACCTGATCTCAATCCAGTCGAGCGCATCTGGGATGCTCTTGGTAGACGCCTGCGCACTCTCAGGAATCAACCAAATTTACAGGATTGTGGTGCTGCTTTGCAGGAACAATGGTGTCGACTCACCAATAATTTGTGCACACGCATCAGACAGACCATAAGGGTGCGTTGCTTGGCAGTTGTGAACGCACGGGGTGGCCATACACGCTACTGAACGTTTGAAACATCATATTTAATTTTGTTGTGACTTGACACTTTGTTTACGCCTTTTATTGATATATTCTGTAACCACATGGAACCGATTTGTAGCATTCTCTTTATTCTCAATTCATCGACCCTAACAAATAAATCATAACCTCTGTACCACATTATTTAATATATGATTGTGAAGTTTCTAGTTTGACTCTGTCTAGATCACTAACAACTGAAGGTAGATCACCATAATAGAGACCTTGGGGACTTACAATACTTTTGCTACCTGCATGGACCCTCGCTGGATTTACATCTCCTCCCCTCAGCTGATGGCGATTCTACTCAGGTTTAACCATTACCCAACATAACAAATATACAATACTTTTATAATACGTTATCCCTCTTTGTAAAACATACATAGAACAATCGAGAGAGAGAGAGAGAGAGAGAGAGAGAGAGAGAGAGAGAGAGAGAGAGAGAGAGAGAGAGACAGAGACAGAGACAGAGAGAGAGAGAGAGAGAGTCAAAGTCAAGTGTTTGATATATATGTTATAAGATGCAAGGTAAATTGTTATTGTCGAGGGTTTGATCCGCTAAAATACGACGATAGGTCCACTACCAAGAGTAACACATTCCATTCTCTTGAGGGGCGTTTGGGTAGCCTAGTGTTTAAGGCGTTCGCTCGTCATGCCGAACACCGGGGTTCGATTCCCCACATGGGTACAATGTGTTAAGCCCATTTCTGGTGTTCCCGGCCGTGATATTGCTGGAATATTGCTAAAAGCGGCGTAAAACCAAACTCACTTACTCATTCTCTTGAGACTTTCTTTTTATATTTTTAAACAATAAATGTTGGGGGTTAGTGCTTGAGTGAGCTTACATAGTACGTCACAAGGGCAATATTTTAGCCATGTTGGGACAAGAAATTAATATGAATACTCAACATATGAATAAGATCGACAGAATAGTAACTGGAATATCACTGATACAAAATTTAATACTAGTTGATAGCTGTTAAAAGAAAACACTATTAATGAACAAGGTAATATAAACAGGGGCTATAGATTGCCAGTACCTAAAGGCAGAGCACCATGAGGACTAACAATACTTGTGTTATCGGGGTGGGTGGGTTGGTCTAGTCGGATTCGATTCCCCACATGGGTACAAGGCGTGAACTCCATTTCTGGTGTTCCCCGTCGTGACATTGCTGGAATGTTGCTAAAAGCGGCGTAAAACTAAACTCACTAACCCACACTTTGCTACCTGCATGGACTCCAGTTTGGTTTACACGATCCATTCAATCACTAGCAAACATTTATTAGTTTAGACCTAATTTAAAATTTAAAATAATGAAAATGCTGCATTTAAAGGTCTGGCATCCATATGAATACTTCATATGGTATGGAACTTAGACTCGTAGGAGGAAACCTATTTTATGTTACTTCAGCAAATTTCAATAAATATTCAAGTGGGGAATCGTAATGACCTCTCCAGATCTGGACTGACAACCCAAGTAGGTGTAACCAGTGGTTCGATTAACGTTTTGTAAATTGTTTACACCTACTTGGGTGTCTAACGTCTTTTTGCAATAGGCCTTGACTGTAACCTCTAACAGGTTTATAATCACTGTATGGGATAAAAAGTGGCGTTTTGCGCCTGATTACTAGCCCTTGTGTTGCTTATGTTTCCGATGTGGCTGGCCAACCAACGCGATGCCGTATTGGCCAGAAGCAAGGTAATTGTATAGTTTAATGAATTATTTGATGGGCATTTTAGAAGTTGAGGTGATGAAGAATGATGATTATTTTATGGATATACAACTTCTTTATTCTGTGAAAGGCGGCGTTTTGACATAGATTCAAATGTCGTTGTCAAGCAAGTGCATTAGAATCTATGTCGAAACGTTGCTTTTCACAGAATAAAGAAGTTGCAAATCCATAAAATTATCAACATTCTAATTCAGTGATGTCGAGTATTGCTGAATGCTGACATAAATTGTTTTAATAACTTGAAGACAGGACAGCGGTTCTGAAAGGCTTATGATTTCCTTATTTAGACCGTGTACGTCTTAAAATGGCCTTTTATTCGTTTGTAAAATGCTCTGAAAGGATTGAGATTTAATTTATATCTATTTGAAAAGGAGGATTGTTTGCTGAACATTTAGCATGCCCTGCTGGAATATGTGTGAGAAAATGAAACAGACTATTTAAATAGTTGAAAGTAAACTTCCAGCAGATACCAAGACAACTCACGCTTGTTCTTGGCAGCGGATACGAAGAGGCGGTGTTTTTCCACCGTGTCCGCCTTCATCAACATTCCCCAAGCCCTGCCACATGCCAGCTTGGCATCTTTCCAAACCGATGTACCGAATGTCCAGTCTTGGTAGCAAAAGTTTCCCTTGGCGTGGTATACATAAGGTACAACATGTCCCGAGGGACAACCATTGCCTTTAAAAAGAAACAGTCATATCAGAGAATGCCTATTGGTATTGTAGTGTTCTGTCATAAATACATCAGTTAAGCCTTAAGGCATTCCTTCATCCCGTTAGAATGGATTGCACTGTAGGATCTTTAGTGTTCTGATGCATCTTACAATGCCTGAAATCATACTGAATGTTTTTAAAAATGTGCATACTAAATCTCTTCCTTAATCGCCCTTCCTTGATTTTCCTTAAGTGAACATTAAATAAGGATTTCAGATCGGAAACAAGCACGTGCTCAGGCTTGGGAATTCAAGACAGCGTCCCTCAGGAACACACAAACTGCTACGTTAAACTATAATAGAAACGTTATACCGGCGTGTTATTGTAGTGTTTGTAATGTAGAATCGCAATCCGAATCATATTTCGTATTTGGGATGTGGTGTTTATAATGTAGAATCGCATTCCTTTTCGGATTCTGTATGTTGTATTGGCCCGATTTAAATACGCATAAGAATGTGCAGTCTGTACAATGATGTAGTAGGCTTAAATGCGAACTGGAGACAGTAACTTGAATGAGAAGTTGCACACAGTACAATAGGCGACGAGGTAAATGGACTGAACTATGGCTTCTATCAAATAGGACGACATGGCGGGTATTAAAGTTTTCAACTTTTCCGAGACAGCCAGTCTCGCACCAAAATGGCGGAGATATACTAAGCAGAAAAGAAACGTCAGTTTGGAATTTCCTTCGCAGAAACGGATAACTGTAAACTCATTTAATGTTTTGATTGTATATTTTTGACAACATCTCCACCTTTACCTGAGCAAAGACAGTCCTTCCCAAACTCAGAATGGAACCCAGGAAATGGTCTCAAAAACGCAACCTGATTCGGAGATGGTACTATGTTCTCCATGTTATTCATGCTGCACGTGCTGTTCACAAGTACCAGCCCTATAAAATGCACCCCAAGCCTGGTTGAAACATTCATATTACAACGTCAGCAGGATGCCCCTTCTCACGACAGCTCAGAGGAACCAGGCGCTAGAAAGACTTGATGCTGGCCACACTGCACAGGCCGTTGCCAATCACTTCCAGGTCAACGCTCGGACCATCGACAGGGTGCAGCAACGTTACCGGGCCACCAACACCACAAATGATCGCCCCCGTACTGGCAGACCAAGGGTGACCACAAGACGACAAGACCACCATGTTGTGCGATAGCATGTACAGAATCCCTTCATGCAGGCATCCGAAACAGCACGCCAGACAGACCAATCAGTACGGATACAGTACGCCGACGTCTTAACAGCGGGAACCTCCATTGCCGTAGACCCTACCGTGAACCTATCCTCACCCCTCGTCATCGACGTGGACGTCTACAGTTTGCCCTACAACACCAAAGCTGGCGATACAGGCAATGGAGAACTTTTCTGTTCACAGATAAGAGTCAACTGCAGATGGCAAGACAAGAATATGGCGACGACGTCGCCAGCGTTACTCAGACCAATGTGTCATGGAAAGAGACTCATGGGGAGGTGCAAGCATCATGGTATGGGGTGGAATATGCCTTAACCAGAGAGTGGGTCCTGTGGTGTTCCAGAACCTTGGTCAAGGGAAAGGAGGCGGCATCACAGCGATGCGCTACATCGACCAAGCTCTCAGACCCCACGTCATACCACATTTCGCACGTCACCGGAACAGCATTTTCCAGCATGATAACGCCAGAGCCCATACGGCCAGAGCTACACGGGACTTCCAACAGCAGAACGGTGTCAACATTAAGCAGTGACCAGCCCTTAGTCCTGATTTAAACCCAGTTGAACATCTTTGGGATGAAATTGTCAGTTTAATCAGGACTAAGGGCTTACCACTGCATAATGTGGCCAGCACAGCCGATTTATTGCGTCAGGCCTTTCTCAGAGTGTAGTTCAAGGTGCCAATGGCCTTCATCAATCGATTGGTGCACTCCATGCATAGACGCTGTGCTGCAGTTATTGCCGCTCGTGGTGGTCACACTAGATACTGAAGTCAAGAGTCCGAATGGACTGCAACCGTTCACGTAATGTCTTGGAACTGTGCTGAGTTATTCATTGATATGTCAAGATATTGTAAACAAAAATGTGTTTGATCCGCTTGTTACGTCGATATCTGTAATGATTTGATCACAGTGCCGATCTAATTTTGAATTCGTACTGACATTTTGTTTTGCTGCTGAGTATAGTTGCGTGCATTCGAACTATCTCCAGACGGAAAGGGGGTCAAGAAAGAAGAGCAGAAAAAAGCACTGTTACTTCATATGGCTGGACTAGAAGTGCAAGACATATTCTACACGTTAGTGCCGACAGGTGACGGTGACGCTTACGAGAAAACGAAGTCTGACTTAAACGAATATTTCCAACCAAGTGTGAATATGCCATATGAGAGGCACATTTTTCGTGCCATATGTCAGACGGATGAGATTGTTTCTCAATTCATAACTTGTCTGCGACAGCAAGCTGGCGGACATATTGGAGCTGTTGACGAAAGAATTCGATACCAAGTAATTAAAAAAATGTTCCTTTCACAGGTTGAAGATGAAGTTACTGGGAAAAAGGGGGTGATTTAACTTTGGACATTTCGGTGTCGACTGAGCGCTAGAGGAGTCAGAAATGCAAGCAAAACTATTGAAGGTCCAAGTGTAGTGAATGCTATGAGGAGATCTAAACGAGAAGACAGCCGAAAGTCTGGGAACAAGGGAAACTTAAATGTGAAGAAAAACAGGAGTGATTTACCTTGTTACAAATGTGGTAATACGGGACACTGGTCTAAAGATGAGAGTTGCACTCAAGAGGAGGTGTAACCGATGCAAGTTAGTGGGGCATAATGTGTAAGACTAAATTACAAACAGGGAGAAAAAGAACAGAACATGGCAAAGTAAGACAAGTAACAGATGAGACACCCAAGAAAGAGAAGGAAGATTCTAAGAACAAAGATTTTGTATTTGGAATTGATACGCATGCTAAGGAAATGCATGATGGGACAATTGCAGTCACTGTTGGGGGTGTATCTTCATAGATGTTGATCTACAGTGTTGTTTTCTTTGTTACATTGTTACATCCAGTGTATATATACTTCCCCCTTCTTCATGTTCCATTAGTGCTTGACAATGGTACAAGAATCTGTATCGAAACGTCGCACTCACGAATAAAAAAGAAGTTGTTATCCATAAAATTTGTTCTATATAGACCTGTCAAAGTGAGGAAAGTTGTTTCACCACGCGTTGGGTCCTTGGGAGAGACTGACAGTTCTACTCCAGTATTCAAAACATAAACCTCAATCTTATAATTGTTTTGCATCAGTGTGAGACAGTTAAATAATTGGGTGTATATCCATGCATATCTAATCTTTGAAGTTTGTATTAAACTGAATGCAGAATGTATCATGTTTTAGTTGTTTTTAACATTCACCAAACCTCAAATATGAAATAACAAACACGAAAACTAACATTTAAACTTTATTATATTGTTACAATTAATTGAAAATGGCAAAATACCCAATTGAGTGTGAGTGAGATGGGTACAATTTATTTGGTTACTCAAAGGAAAATTAGGATACCCAATTGAGATGAGTGAGTGAGTGAGTTAATATTTAACGTCACATCGGCAATATCTCAGCAATATCGTGACGAAAACAATTTATACAATATAAAGAGAAAACATTTTGAAGATTAAAACCTGTCGACGATGGACAGTAAACATACTAGAGAATCACAGATATGAATAAAACTAGTGCGAAAAAGCTAAAACATTTCAATTAAAGAGGACAATACAGTATAAAACACGGGCTATAGATCGCCAACAACTGAAGGTAGATCACCATACTAAGCAACTTACATTACTTGTGCTACCTGCATGGACCCTAGCTCAATTTACACCATCCCTTCAGCCGCTGGCGATTGTAGGAAAATGTAGCCGGAAGTTAAAAAAACAAAGATACTACGTTTAAGATATGGTAAATTTACATTTTACTTTGAAAGTTTTGGGACTTACGTACCATCTCAGGAGGACAATAATTTTACAGTACTTTAACCCCTTTGAGGGTACAGCCACTAACAATCCAAGTTACTAATCTAAATTACCAATATTTAAAATATATCTATTTACAAAACGCATTATTCAGAATTCATCAAACAAATCAGTTTCTTTTAAAAAACGAATAATTAAATGATAATTAACATTTGTAGAAAGATCCTTCAGTGTTTTTACATTGAAATATTTGTCCCTTATGATGGAGAATTCAACACAGCCAAGCAGGACATGCTTGATCGTGGTTCTCTCATCACAAGGGATACAAAACGGAGGATCTTCACCTTTTAAAAGGTATTTGTGAGTATAACGCGAATGGCCAATGCGACATCGTCGCATAATGACCTCCTCAAATCTGGACTGACAACCCAAGTAGGTGTAACCAGTATAAGGTTTTATTTCATGTAATTTGTTAATACCTACTTGGGTGTCCCACTTCTTCTGCATCAGATCACGGATGTAAGTTCTAATGCTAGCTTTGTAATCAGAGTATGGAAAAAGAAGTGGTGTCACAGATTTTGTGAGTGCTGCCTTGGCAGCAAGATCAGCCATTGTATTCCCAGAAATGCCAACGTGGCTGGGTAACCAACGAAAGACCCAATTGAGATGAACACAAGCGAGTACATCACCCAGTGACCCAAAAAGTTATCTGTAGCTCTGTGCCAGTATATCATTACAATAGCATTATAGTGTTCTGTGTCTATCGTTACAAGAAAAACAATTCTGATATTTTAAGAGTGTCAATGCAAAGAAAAGTTACATTATTTGTTTACTTTGACCTTAACCTCTGTATGTTTGAAAATATCAGGATATTTATTAAAACTAATGTTTATTTGTCTATCTAGTATTAATGTGCAAAATATTGGTTCAGTTATCCTTAGTTTAATGGCACACCGATCGACTGTTTGAAATCACCCACCCTGTTATTAACGTCTTTTGGTGAAATCAATTCAGCAGGCTAGGAGTTCCCTGTGTAGACTGAATAATTGACGCACTGCCTTGAACTGATATCAACTTTCAGCTTCACAAAGGCCAATGGGCAGAATAATGTAAAGTATTTAATTTGACTGAAGAATGTTACTTTTGTGGGTACACTTCTCAGTACGTTTCTGGGTGAGTGATTGAGTGAGTGAGTTGACACTTAAAGTCGCTTTAGCAATATTTCTGCAACATCGTGACTAAAAACAGTTCGTACGTAAATACTTTATAACGTTACATTATAAGATATGTCGCCATAGGACAGCAAACCAACTAGTATATCATAGTTAGAGATTGAAAGTAACATGTAACTTGAAACATAAGCTATTTAGGATATTACAACATAAAAGGAGATACAGATCATCAACAACTGAGGGCGGATCACCCTACCAAAGACAATGGTGACTTTCAGTACATTTGGTACCTGCAAGGACCCGAGCTTGATTTACACCATCCCTTCAGCCACTCGCGCAGTACGTTTCTGTCCAAGGGGATATACTTGGTTATCAATTCAAACTGAAGGCTGTCAAATATATCTTTATTCCCATTTAGTGTTGATATTGCCAAGTAAAAGCCATTCACAATCTCCTGGGATTAAATATATCGTCATGAACCATACAATACGATACAATCTTGTTTACGGTTAGGCGCGGTGGGGTAGCCAAGTGGTTAAAGCGTTCGCTCGTTACGCCAAAGACCCAGGTTCGATTCCATACATGGGTACATGTGTGGAGCACATTTCTGGTGTCCCCCGTCGTGATATTGCTAAAATATTGCTAAAAGCGGCGTAAAACTAAACTCACAAACTTTTAAGGTTAGGTGGTGCCCAGTTTCAAGCAAAACATTGATTACACAACAGTCTCGTTTCCTACTGACTGGGTTCCGTCTTATTGCGCAACTTACTCTCGAAATTCTGGACTGGTTATTGTACTAAGTCATTCAACTGGATATGTGAATATTAATCAATATTATTTGATACATCTAATCACCTGTATATTGCAACACTATGCTCCTTCTAATCCAGTGATCAACATCTCCATACACGCACACGCACACGCACGCACACACACACACACACAAACAAACACTTCGTCCCATCTCACCTCGTATAATGAGGGTAAATATAATCAATGCATTTGGTATATATGGATGCACAGTTTTCCGAGCTACAAAGGCAAGAGCTACTTCCTTAGATAATGATTTAATCGATGCCAACTGATTAAGACTGGTCTCCTATCTAGTCTGAAAGCCAAAGACATACATCGTGAAACTAATCGGGTAAAAAAGCAGGTATGAAAATATCAAAGTAACGTATAACATCACCAACGGTAAGAGACTTCAGAGATAAAAACAAGGCGACTTTTCTTGATTCAGAGATCGCAAATGCATAAAATGTGAGACAGACAGTACATTCGTTCTTACCAGATATATCAAGACTTTGGTGAGTTAATAGCTTACATTTGTGACTCGATTGTATTGTTTTGGAAATGAGCATTGTCATTTATTGTAACCATGTGTATTGTTGATTCAATATATTATTGAATATCATAGACTTGTCTGGTTTAAAGGGGACTCACAAGATTTGTGTCACGGTAATTTCTAATCCGTAACTTAACACATGACACAGGAGACATTTAGCATCATTATTTTTAGCATTACAAAAACGTTTTGTAATATTTTGTACTCTGAAACGATTGAAATTTGTTTCAAATAGAAGTAATGACCTGTATTTTTGGTTCTTCACATCAGTGATATACAATTCTTCAATAAATACAGTTTTAATGGATGAATAAAAACAAAGATTTTTTATCTAATAATACAGAATATATGTATTTCAATAATTTTATACATTCAACACCATTATTATTATAGTCTCTATCTGACTGACGCAAACTCACGTACAACATTGACAGTACACGTTCTTTTTCTCATTTCTGACTGTTTCCCTTAGTTACAATTAGAACAACAAGTTGATAAAACTTGTTATAGATATCGAAAACTATATGCCTTCATATAGATATCGAAAACTATGTTATTTTACATTAAATGTAATTCAGCGTAAACGCCCTAATTGGGCAACTCACATAAATAACTTGGTCATAGGCTTGGCCATGTCTGGCTTTATCAAGGTGTTGGAAATGTAGATTATTGATCATTGGACTTTTTATTAAAAACAACAACATATCCGTGTTCATTAACTCATTAAGGCCGAGAGACGCACATATGGGGCAAATTAATCAGCTCCTCACAGCGAGTGACGTGTTTATGGGGCAGGTAATTGGCAGTTTCTCACAGCGAGAGCCACATATATCCGTCGACAGAAAGCACCTCTTATTCAGCGAGAGACGCACATATGTGTCGTACTTTTAAAAATCGCTCTGTACCTATTATTTCAACCAATTTAGTAGGGCTGAGCAAATATTAGCCTTTCTTACGAGAGATGCTACCTTTAGTGTCTATCAGAAGAAGTATTTAAATTGTTTTGATAGCAATTGCTAATCATTATCATAGGCTCATACAGCATTTGGCAAATGAACACATGTCGGCGAGAAAGGGGATTATGATGTGTTTACAGGGGTAAGTGTCTGGTACTCTTCATTGGGAATAGATAATAAAATAATTCTTATGCACATTGATTGAATTAGATGTAATGGTTTCGAGGTTACTGAAGATTATATTTTCTTCAACTTCCTAATAAATAGGAAGCAATATACGAAATTTCAAGGACATACAAAGAATTCAAACACAATAAAATAGTTTGAATTTACTTTTTAGGTATTATTACGTTTTCATGTTTCATATAATGAAACATAACGTATAAACCCAAATCATTATACATCCAAGCTCGAATAGATTAGACATAATTTAACTTACTTATTTAAAGCTTAATGAATTGTAACTAGTTATTTTCCATACTCTAAAGTTGATAATGTTACCAGCGCCTTGAGCAAGCACTAGTTGCCTGGATATGTGCGCTATAGAAATATCGTAACACATAATACCTAATCGAATATAAAGTAATAAGTCGCGCCTTTGCATCGAATATAATACATGTCAGTGTTATTACAACAATGAAATCTTTTACTACGTTTGTCACAAAACACAGTTAGTTGGTAATTCAAAAACTTCTTAGACATAGACAGAAGTAATATCATAAGTTATTACATGTAAACCATACAAATGTATTTCAAGTATTTTTGTTCAAGCTGTTAAAAGTTTCATGTTGATTTGAATTTGTCAGTTTTCTGTGCAATTTACAGACAGACAGGTTTATTCGGTAATTTAGGCCCAAGGCCAATAATACATACATTTGGCAAAAGTAAATACATACTGAGTAAAGCTAAGTAAAGTTTAGTATTGATTTGTTTTACAGTTA